TAATTAAGTATGCAAGATTGTGGGTTCAAACCACGCAGCTATCATGTATTTTTGATTTTTTTTTTATTTAGGTTATTATCATATGGGCTTTTTGTTTATAAGGTTCTTATGTTTTTTTTTTTGGGCTTATTGTTTTAAAGATCAAAATAGTTGTATAAACCCTAAACCTTAATAAGTTCAAACCCAAAATAGTTAAAAATGAATCAAAAACGAATAATAAAACAAAAAACAAAAAACAAAAAAAACAAGTCTCACGTGGTTGCCTACGCGGTTAAAACTATCCTATTATAATATAGCTCAACCCAAAAATAATAAAAAATAAATCCAAAAACAAACAGACAAAAAAAAACAAAAAAAAAGTGAATTCCACGCGGGTGCATACGTGGATGGCTTAATGAGGGTTGAATAATATAGATTAGGAGTTCAAAAAGTTAAATCATTGCATATATTTCCTAATATATATTTTCAAAAAATTTGTATGTGAGATAAAATAAAATAAAACAACAAAAATTAATTATTTTCGTTATTATTAAATGAATATATAATTTCTCTTACGTTTTAATAACTACTATAATTTCCTTGAAAACATTTCTCACCACCGATTCCAGACTCCGACGAATGGATTCCCACAGTCGATGACGCCGTAGATAAAAATGCCACATCATTTATGAACAAAACTCAAACTTACAAAAAACTATATATAAAAGCCTATCTAATGAAACTTAAACAACGAATATTAACTTAATTAAGGTTATTTTCAAATTGATAAATCGTTTAATACAAATATAAATACTATAAATATAGAATTATATCAAGTTTTGATCTACGATATAAAAACTATTTACAGCAAAAAAAATACACCTACTTTTACACACTAAAAACTATATTATAGCCTAACTATTCCTATAAACNAACTTAATTAAGGTTATTTTCAAATTGATAAATCGTTTAATACAAATATAAATACTATAAATATAGAATTATATCAAGTTTTGATCTACGATATAAAAACTATTTACAGCAAAAAAAATACACCTACTTTTACACACTAAAAACTATATTATAGCCTAACTATTCCTATAAACCTTACTTCGCATATAAATAACATTTAGCACATTCCTAATATTTTTCAAAAAAAATTGTATGTGAAATAAAATAAAATAAACAACAAAATTTAAGTAAGTTATTTATTAAATGAATATGTAATTTCTCTTACATTTTAATAACTACTATAATTTCATTGAACACATTTCTCACCACCGACTCCAGATTTCGGCGAATGAATTCCCACAGTCGATGACTCCGTAGATGAAAATGCCACATCATTTATGAACAAAACCGAAACTTACAAAAAAACCATATATAAAAACTTATCTAATGAAACTTAAACAACGAATATTAACTTAATTAAGGTTATTTTCATATTGATAAATCGTTTAATACAAATATAAATACTATAAATATAGAATTATATCAAGTTTTGACATACGATATAAAAACATGAAATTTTCCATTTCATTATTAATTGGTGTCATTAGAAGAATCCACTAAACTAACAATCGAAAAAAATACACGCAAACATAATGATCCCGGCTCCGCGCTTGCGCGGGGAATATGCAACTAGTTTTATCAATACAAGATATTTGTGATGTAATGGTATTACCGTATTAAGTTCTCTGTTTTTTTCTATTAAATTAAGATTTTGAAATATTATACTACTTTAGATTTTACAATAGTATTGTTTTTCATTTTCCATTACAAAAATACACTTTAGCATATATGTTTTTATCTTTTTAGAAAATTTGGAATATTTTCTTCTGAATTTAGAATATTCATTTTCAAAATTTTATATTTGGGCAATAATTTCTTTGAAAACTACATAATTTATTAAAATGGCATAGAATATTTATTTTGTTTTAAAATTTTTTAAATAATATTAATTCATAAAAATATTATATTAATTTTTGTCCAAAAAACAATATTATATTAATACTTACGAAATTAGTTATGGCATTATTGTATAAAAGTATTTAAAATTTAATTAATATTAATTCATAGAAATGTGTTCTCAACGGACTTTGTTATAACTCAAAAAAACTGTTTTTTTATACATTTGATTTATTAATGTAAATAATCAAATATATCATATTAAATAATTAATCAAATGACCCTATTATGATTTTCTACAGAAAGCAAAACTCTAAATTTATAGGATAGATTTTCGTTTTTTACTTTTAAAAATCAATGTGAACAGTTATTTTTTTAGAATATAGTATTACATAAGTTATAAAAGTTCAAAAAACTGAGTATGTTATATTTGAGGACCCATCAAAATTAGCTAAAGAAACGTAAATGTATATATAACACAATCCAAACCGGTTTAATAAATATAAACTGAAACTAAAAACAAATTCTTTTTCTATTTAATTAACTATAATATTTCTGGCCTTTGAAAAGAGTATGTAAAAATTTAGTTGTATCTTATTATTGAAAGATAAATGTAAAACTAATATTTAATTTAAGATATACAATATAAGTGATTAATTAATCAATTTATTTTTTTTTATTTTCCATTTTTAAATTCATATATATATATATATATATATATCTTAAATAAGATTAATCCTAAAATTACAATTTTTTTATTGAAAATATAAGTATATATATTATCTTGTAGTAAATATTCTAATACTTCTTATCAGATGATATTTTAGTATTTTTAACTTATCTTGGTCTTTATATATATTTATATAGTTTGTTAAATAAAAGTAAAAAATATATAAACTAGTCAATTAAATCTTGATAAAAAAACTATTCTATTAAATATTTGAATGCAGTTTAGATTTCTTAGTCAAATGAAAACGTTAAGCAGATCCTTGACTATAAACTGATGGATTATTTACCAATATTAATGATAATATTTGACCATTCCAAACTTGTTTGTAGTTTTTGGCTGATTGAGATGATCATGAATTTATGAGAAAGGCAATCCTACTGCGTATAAATGTTGTTCCAGCCCATCTTCACAACAAACAAAAGCAACAAAAAGAAACATAAACAATAATATCCCGATAAGTTTTTTTAAATATGAAGACGTGGGCGATATGCTTGCTAGTAATTTTTTCCCTTGTTATTACAGTGTCAGTGAAAGGTAGGACCTACGTAGGTGGCGGTGTGACTAATCCGTGCTCAGGTCCTAATCCTCCTCCAGGATGCAATCCTCCAAACTCTCTTCATACGATCGGTAAGCCCGCCAACAACTACACCCGTGGATGTTCCAAAATTACACGCTGCAGTCGAGATACCGGGTGAAGCTCATCATCGAAATTCAGTCGGATGTATTTGCTTTACAATCATACTTACTCGACTAAAGAAAAAAAAAATTATCCGACATGTGTAGGAATGATATTGTATAAATTATGAAAAAATGAATTAATGCTAAGATAACTATACCGAAAATTAAAGTTTACAGTACAAATATTTGCTAAATTAATAAGCGCTATAAAATAATATCTTTTCTCAGTTCCATGTCAGATCATTGAAAATTAACAAAATTCAATAAAATGGCAATAAAATTTTTGTAGAAGTCCTATGCAAATATAGGATATCCTAATAATAACATATATTAATAGTTATATATCTATGTATATAAAAAATCGAAGTATAATTTAGACATATATATAATTAAGATAACTTAGTAAAATATGAGTTAATATTTCTTTTTCTTAAAGTTCAATTCTCTCCACAGTTCATCAATAATTTTCTTTGTCGAATTAACATTTCAGAGTATTGTCTTCTCGGTTTATATCCAAAAATTTTGAAGAGTTCTAGAATCGATAAGCACTTCCTGATATGTAGTTACTACCAAAGATTCCATATTATCATCTGCAACTTCATAATCAGCATTGAGGACAATAGTCACAATTTTTTATAAGCGCTGAACTTCTAAACATGTATGACTTTCGTTTGGGTGGGATTAGCCCCCTGAACAATCGATACCAACGATTTGTACACCCAAACTTTTTGCCTCATCAATTGTTCCCCTAAACAAACAATTTAATCAATTTTCTAAAATTTAAAACAAATTAGCTAAATCGTGTTTAGCGATTAAAAATTTGATTGCCCAATAATTAACCCGATTAAATCTTAACCCGAGTCTTATACCCGATATGTTATCAACCCGAGATCTCCTCTTTTTCTGGTTAAATAAAATTGGGGGTTAGGGTTCACGACATCGACAAAGAGAAAGTTCACTTGTGGTCGATCATCTGTGGCAAATGACGTACAATGATTCTATCAACATAGTTAGAGGACCACGATTTTGGATGAAAAAGGGAAAATACAAGTTAATGGTAGAGCCACCAGAGCCTGCACTTCCTGGTAGGAAGAAAAATAATAGGAAAAAGAGTTATCCCAAAAGAAAAGGTAAACATGCATCACCAAAAAAGAGGAAACAAGAAGAAACGCTTGAAAGGCAAGGCCACATAATGCATTGTTCCATATGTGGGGAAACTGAACACAATGCAGCTTCATGCAAACTCAACCCAAAGAAGAAGATGAAGACATAATCCGAAGTTGGAACTCTTCTGGACCCGTAGAAGATGAAGACTGAAGCCTCTTTTGTGTTTGCTATTGTGTTTGCCTCTTTCACGGTTTAGGTACTACTCTTTTGTGTTTGCCTATTTCACGGTTTTAGTACTCCTCTTGTGTTTGTTTTCACGGTTTTGGTACTCTTTTGTGTTTGTTTTCAAGGTTTTATCTAGAACATATGTTATGAATGTTGGTTATTTTCTTATTTAAAATTTTCTTGTTTGTTCATGCTCTTGATGATGGTATTGTCTTAAGATGAAACAAATGTGATAAAAGGTCCTCCTCACACAAATCGTTTACACTTACACACTTAAGGTGTTCAACATACACCAAAACAACAATGACAAGCAACATCATTTTCACTTACGGTGTTCAACATACCAAAACAAAATGACAAACAACAACAACAATTACCAAAGTTTACAACAAAGCCATCCAAAGACACTTAGACACCCATTGTTCTGCAAAGCCACATCATTTTCACTTTTCTCAGTCTTCCTCATATCTACTAATTCTTCTTCAACTGCTATTTGTCTTTCTTCAACCAAACAAATCTCTTTAGCTAAAGCTTCATCTACTTCTCGTTGTCTTTCTTCAACCAAAGATATCTTTTCAGCTAAAGCTTCATCAACCCACTGGAAGCGATGATCTTCCCACTTTCTCTGCAACAAAAATCTAACATAACTCAAGCCAACAACATACTGTATATTTTTTTCGATGGGTTACACATACCTGGATCAATATTTTACAACGATAGAATCTCCGAAAAGGATTCCTATGTATCTTCTAAACAAATGTACCAACCCCTTCTCTACACCAGCAGTGAGTTGGAACACCACGAAGTCCTTTGTTTCGCCTTGAACACGAACCTGTGATATGCCCAGAAACGACTATGAATAAACAATAGAACAATGGAAATTGAGAGAAGAATTGAAAACTTACCCCGATTTTGCTATTTCTGATGCACTTATACTCTTGTCCATGGTAGCAATATTAATTTCCCCAAATCTTAGATGAACCCTAATTTTTAAGAGAGACGAAGAGAACGTGATAGTTTTAAATTAAATGGGAATTCGGGTTGGAGTATTAGGGTCGGGTTTAGTGTTAATCGGGCTGGATATTGGGTAATCAGTTTTTGTAAACGCGTTTTATGTTTTAAAACGTGATTTGGTCTAATTGACCGAAATTGTGGAAAATTGATCAAATTATTTGTTTAGATGAACAATTGATGAGGCAAGAAGTCTGGATGTACAAATCTTTGGTTTCGATTGTTCAGGGGGGCAATCGATGACAATCCCTTTCGCTTGGATAGTTGAATATATATTGACATCATCCATTTGATTCTGATAGTTAATATTATTAATCAAATTCATTAGTGTCGCTTGATTATTCTTCCAAATTTTTTGATATGACATCTTCTGAATAAAATTTGTTGTGCCGATTTTTTTTTTGATATTTTCTCTTGATGAACATCAATATTCTAAGCCGAAACTGCATAATTGATAACATCTAAAACATTGATCAAATTGTCCCAACTTACAGCCTTTAGTAAAAATAAAATAACACTTGTATAAAATATTAGCATATATTTAAATACGTAAATAACATAGTATAAAGACATATAAATAAATAAATTCTAAATTTTTTGAATAAAGATATTATTATCGATATAAATAATAAAAAGTTTATAAGTCCTAAAATTATTAATTTGTAGACACATTTACTGTAAATGATACTTGTTGGAATTAATTAAGTGAGTTGGTGTTATTTCAATTTTAACAGTATCCTTAAAACTCACATGTGAGATATAGTTTTTGTTTGTAACACTTATGTGAGATATAATTATGATGTAATAGAAAATTATTGGACATAACATACTTTATGTATAGGGTTATAGCAAAATTCTTAAATATGGTTTTAGTATATGAATCAATTAACTTTATTTGTTTTATTTAAACATGCACATAACATTTAACATGATCATTTTATCACATCTTTTCTTGCAAAATCATCAAATTTGTGTTAGCTCATATGGTAAAACCAGGTTTATGCATCCTTAGATTCCTAGGTTTGATTTTCTTATTCCATAGTGCAAAATATTTTATCTAAAAAATATTTAATATGAACATTCTAATAAATTAAATAAGATGAAAATTTGGTGTGTGCTATGAATACTAAACGATATTTATATCCCCAAAGCATAAGAGCAAAAGGAGATATGTTATGCATCACTTTTAGAAAACTAATTAGTATTTTGATTGTTGTCAATAAAACATCTATATATATAGTTGATACAATCAATGCATAAGACTACATGAACGATAAATTTAAGAACGGACAGCCCAACATAAGACTAACACACAGTGTTCACAAACAACCGATCTTCAACGTACATATGGATTTAGAGATCCAATTTAGTTTGCAGAAACGTCATGAGTATGTGTTTTTTGTTGATGGCTTATTCCAATATTGACTTTAATCTTCTATTTTTTTTCATCCACAAAATTTTGAGTCGAGCAAACCCCCCCCCCCTCCCCTTCATGTAACTAAACGGATTTGATTTTTGTTTACTTGTTTTGGTTGCTGACATATAACACATGGCTAAATTGGTTCAGTTTTTTTTTTAAATCTGAACAATTTATTTTACTGTTTAAAATTATATGCCTTAAAAGGACGTCATTTTGTCACCCAACATTACACAAAGAATTGGATATACTACTTTTTTTGTAACAAAAGAATTGGATATATTTTTCTATTAGTGTTCTTCAACAAAACAAAGAGCAGTTGAGCAAAAGTGAGATTTTGCGAGCTAGGTTTAGAGAAGACAATGACTCAAATTAAAGAACAAAGGATGTCTCATAGCCTTCGTAAGGTCGCTTTGGGGTTGTTGGTTGTGAATCTCGAGTCTGGATGATGAGGTATATCAACCCTCATGTTTTATTTTTGTGAATTTGGGGATTGTTAATATGGTTTTACAATTCTAATGTGGATGCACCGAGTAGCTCTGGTTCTTACTGAGGCTTGTCCGAGTCGGATATTTCAGAGCTAATGAACCAGCTTCCGGTAAGTCATGCATATATATGGTCAGATAGTGTGGTTTAAGGTCTCAAATGGAGAAGTTGAAGAAAGGCAATTGTCAAGAAGATGTGTGCAGTGTGGACGGATGCAATTGATATATTTTTTGAGCCTGAGACAAAGAGAGCAGAGTTTTCCAGAGGTAGGAATATGAGAGATGAGACTGAGGAAGATGAGAGTCATAGAGATGAGACCAAAAGACATAAACGTCAATATGCTGAAGAAGCAAGAATAGAAAAGTATGTGGCTGGTTTTGTTGATGAAGAGTTAGACGAGTATGATTAACCAGTGTGTTCAAACAATGATGACGATGGCTTTGAGTTAGAGGGGTACATAAAAGGCAGTAGTGCTTCTTTCGGGATAACTTTTCATTTTATAAATTTATAACTTTGATATTATTGAAAATATTACAAATATATGATATACATTTTAGTGTTATATATTGTGTAACTCTATAATTTTACTGGCTAGGTTTCGTAATATTTTTTTGAAATTGACATTTATATTGATTTATTATATTATTTGGTGTATATAAAATACTTCATAAAATTTAAATGTGGTTTTAGATATAATTTTACTAAATATAAAGATAATTTTATTGTGAATATAAAATAAATAATGTAATGATAAGTTTATATTTATATAAAATATGTATACATATTAATTATTAATTTATCATTTTAATGGGATCATATATTTCTATAGTGTTTTCAAAAAAATATTATTTTATGATTTTATTGATATATTTTATTATATTTTGAATTTGTCCAACATGAAACCGTAGAAAATTATTAATTTATAATGTTTAATAATTTATTGAATATTAATTTACAAAATTTCAATTGTACTTAGATTTTTTTTATAATTAAAAGTTAGATGGATCCGATTTTAAAGAAACTGAACCAGTTCGCCACATGTATATATCAACATCTCCGTCAAATTAGGTTTGATTTATATGGAAAAAATATAATTTTTGGTCTTTACTTTCTTCTAACGTGTTCGCTCGACCATTCTTACTCCAAAGAATATGAGATAACTCACATCTTCAAAATTCTCTTTTAATTTTTGGAACATTTTGATTTCTTTTGTGAAATTCGGCTACCACCCAGTTTGTAGTCATGTCCAATAGATCCGAATAATTTGTTTCGGATCGTATTGAAGTTATCCTCTTTTCATGCATGAAGCTGTCCAAACTAAATTTTCTATCTGAGCATGTAAAGCTGAGAGATTCCTACTATATGTCCATAATCCAAAATATTTAAAACTCATTTGATCTTTAAGATTTCACCCTAAACCATTAATACTACTATTATCGATTCATGATGCATTAATTTAACCGGTAGGAATTCAGAATATCCAAAAGATACTATCTCAATCTCTATTGGAGAAGGACCATCATGATACTTATTTGCTTCCTCCTTTTTATAATATATTCATCATATTCTCTATTACAAGAAAGGTAACAACTACATCTTATGAATTTCATTTTTCAGTTGGGATGACTATCTTGCCTTCACGTCTTAACCATAATCAAGTGTTTGTCGTTTCTTGGCAAATAGAAAAAAACAATGTAACTAAATCCCTAGTTTTATGGGATTCATGACGTGTGTGAACTTTATACAAATAAAAAAAAACTACTTCCAGCTCATTGCAGAATTGCTCTCAAAATAATTAACTAACATGGCCAAATGTCCAATGCGTCGACTTTGCAAAATAAATCTTTCTTTTCTGTTAAGATGTGATCTACACATACATTTAAATAAATTAAAGCACTACGACGACAAAAATACGCATCAAACCTAATTGAAAAAATAATTATTAAATATTATTCTAAAACATAACTATAGTTTTAAACTTTTTTCAGAAAAAAAATATAACTAGGGTTTTTCTTTTTCAGATAACTTGTATTTTTCTCATTACACACGGACAAGTTGACTATTGAAAAGATTTTTCCAAATAAAAAAAATATCTCACATACAGATTGACTACTAAACTTACTTTTAGAAGTATATTAAGTAACATCCCTCGATTATTTTTATTTGTCAAAGAACACCCTATCTCTTCTGCTGAATAGACTTGAAATATAATTTTAAGTATGCCCGTCCCTCCCTATGTATGCTTATATATAGAGACTTTTCTCTTTTCTTCAACGTTGCCTTTTTCAGTTTTCTAGTATTTGCTTTTCAAAAATGGCCGGGGGAATTTTCAAGGCATTTTTATGGGTTACTGCAGCTATGGCGCTTGCAATGGCCGAGGGGGCTCGTGCACAGCTAGTGCCTTGCTATTTTGTTTTCGGAGATTCAGTCTTCGACAACGGTAACAACAATGACTTGAATACCTCCGTCAAAGTTAACTATTCACCTTATGGTATTGATTTTGCTAGAGGTCCTACCGGCCGGTTCAGCAATGGCCGTAATATTCCTGACTTTATTGGTTAGTCCTTGGCCTGGTTTATTTCTTTGCCAATATGTTGTCGATGAAACCCCTCATAGAAATTGCCAAAATTACAAGTTTTTTAGTCACAAAGTTTTCTGTGTCTAACTAATAGATTCGAATAGAGGTGTGTTTTTAGCTGATGTGTTTAACGAATAATACAAAATGATGGTGTATAATTAGAAACGGAAATATTATAACTAGATAATGATAATATGCAGAATAGTCACAACCGCTGAATAATAGACTATTTTGGTAGATACATAAAATTTTGTATGTAATGTATTCGAGAATCAGTTTTCTACAGGATTTTAAAATTTATTGTGTAATTTGTTTTCTTGTGTGTATTATCTTGTGTAATGAGTTTGGTTTATGTTTTTTCAGCTGAACTGATGGGATTCAGTGATTACATTCCACCTTTCGCTGGAGCATCTCCAGAACAAGCTCACACTGG